TTGCACTCGCGGGGCACGAGAGCCCAATTTTTGGCTTAGCGCTCACGTTCTCGACGCCACAAGGTCAACCACCTCGATATTTTGCTAGTGCCAAGTTCTGGTGAAAATTTCTAGCTATGGCAAGCTCTGGCAGCATCTCTTGTCGGCATTTTACTAAATTTGCGTAAACTGAAAATTCGAGTTCCTGAAAACTCTTTGCTAGCAGGCCATTTTTTTCCGGGCGGTCTGGCTCCTAAATGCTCACTTCTGGTTTGTCTAATACTTTCAAAGTTCTCAAGTCTTCTGCCCCCGTTTTAGAATGCTTTGTGGCTCGAACTTCCTCAACAATCTCTGCCACGTTTTTAAGATAGCTTTAAACCAGGCTAATCGATTTTGTCCGATTTTCTTCCTGATGCCTTCTTCCTCCAAATTCAACGATCGCTGCTAGTTTGTCATGGGGCTAGCTTTAGTCTCTAGTTACGCCACTCATTTTCATTTCCCCGGAACTTCTTGATATCCCTCATTCACCCCCGCAAACCAGCCGATCGGACCGCTTTTTGTTGTGTTCGGGGTGGGCGAAATTCTCTAGCCAGCAGCAGCAGCAGCAGTCGGTTAGCGCCGACCGCATTCCAAGCGTGTGTCGCTGGCTCGATTACTGTTTTTCTTTGTCTGCCTTTCTCCCTCTTTCTCTCTCTCTCGCGCTCTCTCTCTCTCTCTCTCTCTCTCTCTCTCTCGCCTTAATCCTCCATATCTTTTTAATCTTTATTTTTCATTAGCGAATGCTTTTTCTTGTTCCAAATCAGCCCTTCCAGCTTGATCTGTCCATTTCTTAGTTTATCTCGTTGGTTCTGTCTCTCATCTTTCTCTCTCTCTCTCCCACTCTCTCGCCCTCTAATCCCCCCAATCTCTAGCCAAAGAAATACGTGCGAACCCCGTGTGCGTGTACAGCCCCGAGGCGATGCCAGAGGTGGACGCCGCGCAGCCACCTCGACCCCACACCACCGCCACCCGAACGCTCTGCCGGCGATTCGCCCAAAAATGTGTGGGTGCTCTTGTATTCCGGCGTGCTCCCGGAGGTTACTTGCCAAATCGGTTCACTTGGAGGCACGTAAGCGAGTAATATAGCGTACTGAGTTTTTTGCTACTACAAATTTTTTCAGCGTTCTTTCTTGCTACGCTACTTCCGGAAATTTCCCGGTTATTACTGAAGTCTCGCACATTTTTCTTTGTGCTGCTACGAACATTTTTCTTACAAAAAATTCAGCTTTCTGTTGCCGTTCTGACCCGAAATTGATCTCCCGGGGCTCGGGGTCGATCGTCAATATTTGTTGATTGGGTAAAATCAGTTGAAGAGACTAGGGGGCCCAAGACCTTCTATTAAACTCCGCTTTTTCGCCTCAAGCCTGGATTTTTCTCGGCCTTTCTTCTGTTTAATTTTTTACCGAAAACTGTTAACAAATTCGTCTAAATTTTAAGATAAGGCTATAAAATTCCGTCTCCCGTCTCGTCTACTATTTTCTGAACTCTCATTAATGCACCGAATTTCAAGCTTCATAGGTGTTCCGGTGTTTTTTAAAAATATCTTAGCTTTAAGACATGCCCTCGTTGACAACTTGACCATCCTTTTCACCAGCTTCACGACAATTCACTCCCAATCTTTGGTCATCAACTTCAACCCCCACATGTTCCCCCCCCCACCCCTTGCAAAAGCGTTAGCACCTGAAAAGCCGCAAAGCCCTCGGCGACCAAAAACAAACACCGCTTCTTGTCTAGCAGCCGGGGGTGATAATTTTGAACAAAGATCCACCATCCTAGTCTTGGGGAAAGCGGCTTAAAAGTACGGGGGGGCGGGGGCTTTGTGCGTTCGTACTTGCGATGGTCTTGAACTTTTTAAAAAATTTTCTTTGGGTTGTTTTTTATAGGAATTCGGATCGTTACGATCTTAAAAGCGAAATAGCGGTAGCTAGATAGAAAAATTAGGGAGGGAGAGAGAGAGAGAGAGAGAGAGAGAGAGAGAGAGAGAGAGAGAGAGAGAGAGAGAGAGAGAGAGAGAGAGAGAGAGAGAGAGAGAGAGAGGCAGAGAACAAGCAACAATCGAAAAAGCTGGTTAGAATTTGATTTTTGGCTTGGCGATCGAACCCCTAGAAAACCGGTGTCTAGAGTTCGATCAGTTGTTGCGATGTAGGAAAGGGAGAGAGCGTGTGAGAGAGAGAGAGAGAGAGACAGAAATGCAGAAACAAAGTGATGTTTGCCATTCGCAGCGGGACCCAGAAGCCGGCGAATGGCAACGGTGCGCCTAATCGGACCGGGGGGCTTATTTTGAGGGACCGGAATCGGAATCCGCTACCAAACAATATACAGGGTGGCAATGGTAGTCTCTCTCTCGCTCTCTCTGTCTCTCTCTCTCTCTCAACCTCTAGCTAGTCGATTCTATTTGGCACCCTCTCTACCACCATCCCTCACTCCCTCCTCCCTCCCCCACCCATTCCACCCGGCGCCTATTTGCACTACGTTCTACCAGCTGCGGGAACACAATACCACTGCCTGCTCCCCATCGACTGCTACTGCCCCTCCCCCGCACATCTTCTCATCAATCATATCTAGGGCTATAATTTATTGATTTGAGACGCTAAAATTGCCGCTTTACCTGAGCGCTGGTGGCTTTTGCCATGGGATGGCAGGTGGAGCTGCAGGTATTTATCAAATGGTTGCCTGCGGTTTTGGCTTGTATATTGCTATATTAATCTCTATGGTCTTTATAAATTAATATATCTTTTGTATTCCTGGGATACTAAAAAGAATTTTACACCCGCGAACTGAGCCTTAGTTCATAAAACCCATCAACACCTTGCAGATACTTATCAAAGGCATTTTGCAAGCTTATATTCGCGTAATAACATACGCGGCATTAAGAAAAATATATTCTTAATTTCACATTTTTATATGCATTTTTATGACTAAAATCCGATTCGCAGGAGCTTCAAGAAGTCCGTAAAACCGGAAACTCCCCGGAAAACACATTAAAAACCGGTCCATCTGACCTAGATTCCACTCAAAACTATCGTCACTAATTGTTATTGTTTAGCGCTACCGGCCGATCGACCCGGATCGACCCTCGGCCACCGCCAACGGTGACATGGCCAACGGGTGCGGAGCGAACAATAATGGCCCGTCGCAGCCCGACCATCTGCAGTGGGAATCCGTTAAGGAGCGATTGATTAAAGCCGGGACGGTGGAGAAGCTTGTGGTGGGTGGAAATTATGATTTTTATTTTGCGATAATGAATGCGGTAATTTTTGAACTGTTTTTACGTGAATTTTATGGGAGTTTGAATGTTTTAACTTTGATTTTCTGAAAAACTCTCGCTCTCTCGCTGCGTATTCTTGCTCTCTCTCTCTCTCCTCTCTTCTCTTCTCTCCTCCCTCTCTCTCTCTCTCACTCTCTCTCTCTCTCCCTCTCTCTCTCTATCCCTCTCTCTCCTCTATGTATCTCTAGCTATTACGCTACACACCTTTCTATGTTTTTCTGTCTTTTTTGTATTTCTCGCATTCATGCTCTCTAGTCTCTGGCTGTATCTATCACTCCCTATATCTTTAGCTCTCGCTCTCGCTCCCTCTTGCCCCACTTCTATCTTCCCAACCTCTTTAAGCCTCAGCCTCCTTCCTCTTCCTCCCTAACCTAACCGTTCAAAGTTCATCACTACTTGCCCTTTTCCGCGGCGCTCCTTTGAACCTGCTCACCTCCGCGCCGTAATTGACATGCCAGCCGGCATTGACAGTGCAGGTCGAGTGGGTGGGCATGTTTTCCGCGGCATTCCTTTGCACGGAGACGAGCGTGTCGTGTAGTGCCTTGTCGCGAGACAATGAGTCTCCTTCACTTTTCCCATAGTATCAGCGCGTAATCAAGCTGTCTCGGAGTGACAGGCGGGGCTCGCAATTTCCCCTATTGAGCATGAGAGCCTCAACATGAAGTTGACAGTTGAATGGCCGGGGTGATTAGCACGCTGTGGAATCCGGGGAATGGGGCGCGGATTAGCGTGGAGCGATTGTTTTTGGGAAAAGCCGCTGTCTGCCCTAATTAGCATCAGGATTTACGTGTCGTACGCTAAATTTTGGAGTGCGGATGAAATGACCAAAATAAATAAAACTATGGATGCATTAAGGAGATCCTAGATTTTAAAGGGATGGTGAAGTCAACGATTCGCCAGTGTTTAAGGCCCGTTACAGCGTATATGGATTGTGTCCCGCATTACTAGGAGCGGCCAGTAAAATTTCTTGTAGATTTTAAACGGATACTGAGGTCCATGCAGCTTTAAAATTATGCTGAATTCACTACTGCTTACTGTAAGTGTTTTTACTCAAATTGGGAGTTTCGATTCGGGACCAAAAGTGCATCTTGTGCAGAATTTTTCGCTGATTCCGAATCCGCTTTCCAAATTTGCTCCGGACTTTTATTTTGAAAGTTATACAGCAGTTATGGTAGTGTTTTTCACCAAAATCAAGGAACCGTTATCGTTTTCGATTTTCCTGATCAATTTCAACTTCAAAATTGGCTAGAGCTGGGCTAGACAAGCATGTTAAAAGCATCGTCCGCAGCAAATTTGGAAAACGAATTCGGTATCAGCAAAGAATTCTGCACAAGATGCACTTGGTCCCGAATCGAAACTCCAAATTGAGTAAAAACGCTTTACAGTTAGAGATTCCTAAAGGAAGCTTTGATTTTTTTCACGAGCCCGGGAAGGCAAACACCCTTATGGACTTATAGGGGCAATTTACCTCACCGATATCCCAAAATGATTAAAGCCTAAAGTGACTTGTCGCTGAAGCAAAATTTTTAGTGGAAAGGTGAGATTGATAGGCTCTTCGAAATTCTAGGCGCAATAAGGAAAGACCCGAAAAGTTATGAAGTCGTTGAAGTAGTCAACGTGTAAAGGACTCCTCAAGCAGCACAAATGTTAGTTGTTTTTATACTAGGCTTCCTTGATCTGAGGTATTTATCGAAGTATCCAAATGCTGGCATTACTTCTTGCCGATCTGGTCGACGACCGCCGTCGCGGCAGAGGCGTTGCAAGCGCAGCTGGTCGGCATTGTCGAGCAGGCCACCTAAAAATACATAATTTTTCGCGAAATATCGTTCAAAAAATTAAAAATATATCAGATTAAAGCCTGATTGAAATAGCGCGATTTCTTAGCTTCAAAGTCCTTACCAACGAATTGTCCCTGTAGTGCTGGTACCATCCCCAATATTTTGGGAGGTACTTATCAGCCAGTTGCTGCATCACGGCCACCGTCTGGCGACCTTTGATTTGCTAGAAATTGACCGTAATACCGTACCGAACCAAAGCTTACATTAAACAGTTTCTGGATAAACGATTGGTCGCTGAGATACGTGGCACATAGGGCGCAGATGTTGTTCTGGATTGTCGTGGCGACGGGCGACTTCACCCATGCTTTATACTTTTTGGTGAACTAAATATTGATTTTTTTTACGAAATAATACTTTATTGTCGTAGCTCACCGTTGTTTCGTAGGCCTTTTGGAGGGCGCCCATCGCGCCGCACATACAGCCGTCTGCGATAGCATCCAGGCCGAGGCTCTGTAACCGCAAGTTTAGAAATATTTTACTTACTTTCTATTTCTCTCTCTCTATCTCTCTCTCCCTCTCTCGCTCACTCTCTCTCCCTGTCTCTCTCTCACTCTCTCTCTCTCGCTCTCTCCAACCTCAGCCGCGGGGACCGCTGTCAGCGCCGTGATTCCCAAATTGGCCACTGTTGTCGGGTTGTACTGCGACACGCAGGCCATCAGACTGTCAAAATTATCGGAGACGTAGGCGATGACCACTAAAAGGTGAATCGATTTTTGAGCAAAAGGCTTTTGGGCAGGCTCTAAAGAAATGTACACAAACAATTACGGACCTAGACGCAAAACTTACAATTTCCAATATCGCACATGGTGGGCACCGTTTTGATGCCTTGCGAGGTGCGATTTTTGACGAAGCTCGCCACGTAGGTGCCCATGGCCTGGGTGAACTAAACGAGAAGCTCCCATTTAAAGGCCATGCTCTCTCTCTCTCTTTCTTTCTCTCTCTCTCTCCTCACAAGGAGATGTGTTTTGGTGCCCGCCGAGTTACGAAATGAGGCCAAGCGATTTTGGGCAGAATTTTTCGCTGATCAATAATTACCTTTTAGGATTTGCCAAACGCCCATCTTTCAAAAAATTACGAAGCTTAAAAGCGTGAAAAAATGCCCAAAACGGCCAACTTTCGCCATTTTTCGCTCTTTAAACCGTTATAACTTTGCTATTTCAGTCGCTTTGCAGCTTCAAAAAAGATATTTTAAATCAGCGTAAAATTCGGCACAAAATAAGCTTGTTCCGATTGCGAAACTAAATTAACTAACTAACTAAAAAACGTCTGCGCGTCGGACAATAATGCGTTACGATACGTAATTCCGTTTTAAATACCAGATACCCACCCCATACATCGCTTTGGCCGATAGCGGTGGCGTCGACTGGTTCATCTGCTTGATCAACAGGTTGAAGCACGTGTTGCACTTGGTCGGGATTTTGCCGCTAGCCGGCTGCTGGCACGTCGCAGCGCCCCCGGCCCCTACCAAGCATAGCGCAACGATGAGAGCCTCCAGAATGAACCTCATGGTTGGTGTAGAGTGAAGCGTACTGTAGTTCCGACGGTCGTTTTATACCAACCAAACGTGGGCTGTTGTCCTTTGGACCGTTTTTTGGGCCAATCGGGGTTGTGCCGCCCGCGCGATGGGCTCACAGTTTCACGATTTTCGATGTGCTAATTTGATTGGGGGGCCATTGAAAGTGTGGTTTTTGCGCCGGTTTGTGAAACGATCCTGATCATTGTAGCCAGTCTGAATTTAGTTGCGAAACAGGCCTAATCCCCAGGTACTTTGCAAAACCGACGACATGATCGGGTTCGGAACACGAGATCGGGTTCATCGGTCCCGGAAGAGAGGAATAATCATCGAATATACGTTGGGTGCTAGACCACAAATAGCCTTATCCTATTTCATTAATGCACAGTGATCGCCATGGCAATTCGAGGTTTTTATGTGTATACTTATACAATCAGAATTAGAAATTTCTTTCAGGAATCCCTGATCGGATCCGATGACCTGATGGACTCCCGGCACTTCAACGTCTTCTTCGCCACCTACCGAGCTTTTGCCCAGCCTGTCGATGTTCTGGATCGACTGCTGAAGAGGTAGGGATTATAATGAAAAATAGAAAAGTCGTTTTTTGCAGATTTTATTGCATTTTTCAGGTATGAATCCCTCGACAGCGACTCGGCAGGCAGCACCTCGGCGCTGGTCATCCAGAAGTGAGTTTTAGGCCCATTTTAATCTGATTTGTACAGCTTTTTCAAGTTTATTACTTCCATCCAAGAAATTTCATATTGCACTTCTTCAGCTCGATCCGCTCGGTGCTCATCTGCTGGATGGACATGTACCCCGAGGATTTCTACTCGGCCGAGACTGACTTTGCCATGCTGACCAATCTACTGGATTTTGGTGAGTTCTGAAAATTGATGGCGCATTTTTTCCAATTGATAACAAATTATAGAAATATAACTAAAAACCGCGTTGTTTAGGCCTAAAACATAAGATGCCCGACGTGCGCGCCAAAGCCCGGAAATTGCGAGAGCGTTTCAAGCTGATCGCCAGTCAAGGTGGAATGATAGGTAATTTTTGGATACCTTGTAGCTTGTAGCTGAAGTCATGCTTTTGGGATATTTTGCCCACGGTGGTCTTGATTTAAGGGCGTTTTATAGCTTGTAGTTTTGTAGCCTTGTGGTATTTGTAGTTAGTTTTGGAGATATTTCCGTTGTGTATAATTAGTTTTCGCGATATCTTGCAGTTTGCGGTTTGTAATCAAGTTTGTTTAATTATATTTATAAAATCATATTTAAATTATATAATTACATTTGAATTGTAATTGTTTGTAATCAATCAATCTTGTGGTCTATAGTTTGAACGTTTATATATACTTTATACTATACTATAGCTACTTTTCCGAATACTGCATGGTTTGTAGTCTATAGTAGATTTCGGGATTTTCGCAGTTCATAGCTAGTTATACTCTGTAGGTTGTAGCTGTAGTACATAGCCTACGTCTAACTGTCAAATTGTAAATTTACTTGGCTGCGATCCCTTTAAAAAAGCGTTTGTTCCAGCCGCCCTGCCCTCGCTAGACCAGCTAGCCTACGCGTTTGGCTACGACCACGCGGATTACGTGAACAACGCCCGGGAGCGCGCGAAAATGTTCGACGTCGGCCGGGGGAACTGCGTGCAAATTGCCGAGCAGCTCACATTTTGGGATGCGGTAAATATTTTTTTTTGGTTTTGTACCTGTTTCGTTGAACCGGAACTGTGAGCCGGGTGCACCGTGGCCGGGTCGCTGTTTTTTTGGATCCGGATCAGACAAAACCTTTGCACCACAACTCAATTAAAAGTTTGCAATGGTTGAAACGCAGCAATTAAAAATAGGAAAACTTTAAATTTTTAGTTTTCTATACACGAGCTTAATATACATTTTTAGGCGCTCTTCAAAGAACTCCTCACGCACCAATGCCAAGGTTGCATGTGGTCGAAGAGAGAAAAAGTCAAACCGGAAAAGGTGTATACGGTCAAGGCAACAATTGATCAGGTAGAGGACCCTCTAAAGAGCTCCATATCAATCTGAAATTGTAGTTCAACGCCGTCTCCCGACGCGTCATGACGTCGATCGTACTCCCCGACTGCCGCCCCGATTTTCGGTCTAAGATCATCGCCAAGTGGATTGATATCGCGAGGGTGAGCTGAAGCTTAAATTGGGCTTAGACCGAGGCTTAGCTTCGCTTAGCCTAGGATTAGCGTATGCCTAAATATCCTTACGATTTAGATTGTGAAACTCGAAAATCGTAGCTTACCGACATCACATCTTAAAATATACTATTTTCAGGAACTCCGAGCCCTGAAAAACTTCTCCTCCCTAAAAGCCGTCATCTCCTCCCTCCAATCCGAGCCGGTGCACCGGTTGAAAAGCGCCTGGGCGCTGGTGCCAAAGTGAGTTTGAACTCTTAGAGCTGTCAAAGCCACTTTAAATTGTAAATTCTTGATTCACGGTCGTCGTTTACAGCCGCTCCATGGCCCAATTCGCCGAGCTGGCCGCAATTTTCGCCATCGACGTCGATGGGGATGAACATAATGCGCGAAAAATTTTGGATGAGGTATGTAAAATTTAAACGCACGACTTTCATTGCGTTTCAACCAGCTAATTTGTTTTTATAGGAAGGCACTGCAAAATCATCACCCCTACGCCGACCCCAGTTAATCCAAAATTGCCGAAGAACGAAGAGTGACGTAAATCTGGCAGAATGCCAAGGCACTGTACCGTATCTTGGATCGTTTCTGACTGATCTGACGATGATTGATCAGGCAGCTTCGGATTTGACTGAAGGTAAGACTGATTAACAATACCTTAGTTCTCCGTTTCGTTCAGATGGCCACATCAACTTCGACAAGCGCAGGCGAGAGTTCGAGGTCCTCGCCAAGTTGCGGTTATTCCAATCCGCAGCCCGTGCCTATAAGATTCCGATGGATCGCGAATTTTGCGCATGGTTTTTCTATCTACCGTGTTTGTCGGAGGATGATTGGTACGCTTCTAGATTTTTGGTCTTCGCAGGCACTACCGAGCTTTTCTAGACGTTCAGACGTGATTTCGGGGGGCTTTCCCTAATCCCACCGATTTTTTTCAGCTTCCAACGCTCGATGGAAATCGAGAAGCCGCCACCAATTTCCACTCCGGATTTGAGCCGACATAATAATATTAACTCTTCCGGTTCAAACGTCCATAAGAGCTCGACGCTGTCGCGGATCTTCAATAACTCACGGGTCAGCGAGGATAGCCATTCGGTAAGTTAACGTTTTGGGTGCTTTTGCAACGGAGATCCGGGTGTTAAGAGGCTTACAAAATTACGTAAATATCGTCTAGGAATCAGTGAAGAACGTATTTTCAGATTTCCGGAAATGGCACTCCGTTGATGGGCCAGAATTCGAGGGATTCTGGGATTCATAATGATGACTGGACTGATGGAGGCAGTGGCACTCCTGCAATGTCGAGGTTGGAAAAATTAACATGCACTAATGGTTGCCTAAATGAATACAATATACCTATTAAAGAATCGTTGATTTTAGGAGTACCGTTCTTTAGTTAATATCCTCTTATTTAAAAAAATTCTATTGAAAATTGGGAATCTCAACACTATTACGCTGAACAGGGAGAAAATTTAATTTTTTTGCTTTGTCAATTCCCAAATTTTCACATCCTTTCAGAAAAATCTATTTCGGACACCCCAATGCCATCTCCGAGTGGTTGACCCTATTTTTCCGGTAAAATCGATAGAAATTAGCATATGAAGTTTTGACTTTCGGCACCACTTCTCCCGGCTAGATGCACAAAACGCTTTTAATGAAAGTCCATATATAGCAACGCTTCAAAATCACTCCAAAATTTTGCGAAAATCACTAAAAAACCCAAGAACCAAGCCCCTGGTAGCAGCAAGGTTCAGAGTCATTCACAATCGTAAACAGTTCTGGGGACTGTAAGTCCTAAAAGCTAAACCTACGTTTTTCCGTTTCTTATTTTCGATCATTTTATAATCAATAGTAACGCTTTGAAAAGCTCACTAATAAGAGCCTAACCTCGAAAAGTGTTGTTTTAGAATGGCCGATTCCGGAAATCCGACATCATATTCCACGGCCCCGTCGACTCCAGCCTCGACGATATCTGGTAAAGCGGGCCGCTCGATTTTCTATCAGACACCGCCACGCATTGGTATGCCTTGCACATTTTCACGGTTTTTCGGGAACCGGGATACTGTAGTTTGGGTGCCTTTTATGGGACGCTTGCTTTCGGATTACTTAGGGAGCCTCTCGAAGGGTTTCCGAGGCTTTTTATGCGATTTTCTGGGGTATTCTGCTTTTGCATTTTCTATCTGTCCATATCTATCTTTTCTCTCTCTCTCTCTCTCTCTCTCTCTCTCTCTCGCTCTCTCTCACTCGCTTTCACTCGATCTCTCTCACGCTCTGGCTCGCGCTCTCTCTATCTCTCTCCTTCTCTCTCGCTATCGCTCGGTCTCTCTCACTCTCGTTCTGTCACTCTCTCGCTCACCTCTCTCTCTCGCTGTCTCTCACTATCACTATCTCTCTCTTTTCCATCCCCCCTGTCTCTCTCACCTCAGCCATTTTCAGTCCGCCGCGTGCTCACGGCTTGCATATCACCGCAAAATTATGAAGGTCACAAAATTTAAGCTCGAAAAACCGCATGATCCGTGTAACCAAAAATATGCTAATTTTGTCCAAAATCTGTCTGTCCATAAAAGTCTAAGTGTCGCGTCCGGGTGGGATCTTTGTCGCCCTAATATCAGTGTTGATTGGGGACTTTTACCCTGTAGTTTTAGGTTCCGAATTCTCACCAATGGCCATGTTCAACCCCCATCAGCGGACCCATTCGAGTGACAGCCATGATCGGAATCGGCTTCCGGCAGATTATCCGGTTAGTTTTCAAGGGTTGGTGAAGTCAAAAGTGCTCCTGAATTACTGTAGCAATGCTACTTCCAGCAAAGTACACTTGTGAGTTTGCCGAGGCTTATTGGCTATGAGAACGCGAATATGAAAAGCTTTTAAGTCGCTCTTGCGTTCTGAAATTATGATTTTCTACGTTTTCTTAAGTTTTTGTTTTCTATAGGTTCATAGCTTGTATTCTTAGTTTGTAGCTAGGCCAGTTGAGGCTGAATGTACTTAAAATTCTCCGAAAAAATGTCCCAAATATTTCATTCTGAGCCTTATTCTATTTTTGGTCACTTTATTATTCAGTGAACGAAATTTAAGTTACGATTTCGCATACGTTCTGCTACGTTTTCCAAACTCCCAAAGCTTTCCCGGCCCCGTCCGCTTCTCCCAAGTGTGACATCCCCCAAATCTTCAGCATCGCTCGGCCTCGTTCGACCGCGGGGTCCTGCAGCGAATTTCCGCATCCGCGCTGGCGACTCGCCGCGGAACCTTGCCTCCCGGGCTCCCTCTGCCCTTCCGCGAATCCACTACGGTAGCTAGGGCACTGTGTGGGAGGGCACTAGTTATCTAACCCCCTTCCAAACACTCCTAATCACGCATACGCCAAGCTAAACTCGGACTATGCTTGAAATGTCAGCGAACTAAGCACTCCTGATTCCGATTAAAATGAAGCTAAGCCTGGGCTAGCAGCAAGAATTAAGCTAACTAAGCACCCCTAATTCCGCCATCAACTTACAGGACCCACTAAGCCTGAAAAATGAAGCTAACTAAGCAAGTTAAGCACAAATTAATCAAATTGTCAAATGATGTTTGCCGTACTGATAAAATTGACTGGGAGAAAGGGGTAATTTAAAGAAATTTGATAGAAGACCTGCTTTTTCAGGCCTCAACGGCTTCATCTGGGTCCTCACACTCCAACAACTCTGCGCCAACTTTCCACCTGGCGAGAGTCGGACTGGATGATAGCGTCTATACGGATCAGAGCGGAGGCGCCAATTACAAGTGTATAAAGGTGGGTGGTGTACTTTTCAATAATTTTCTCTCTTTCAACGAATTGGCGCCATTTCCATCCCCATCTTGACAGAAATTTAAGAAATTATTTAATTATGTATATATACTATAAATATATATTATATAATTATATGATATAATGTATAAATCATATTATTAAAAACCAGCGCCCAAAACCCGCTTCGCGGGCCTTGGGCGCTGGAATGCGGCCTTTGCATGAAAAGTTTGACTTTCTGATAGCTCGGGTCCTGCGGACCCCCCCCCCCCGCCCCGACCACACACGCGAGTGTAACTGGCAAGAATGAGGAAGTTTGTATTTTTGCGCATTATGCAAATTAGCCTTCAGGTACCCCCAAAAATCAATAAAACCGCCTTTAACTTTGTAAACTTGTATTTTATCGAAATTCTGAAAACGCCATCGGAAACAGAAGGGTCGATTCCCCCGGGTGACGGAGAATTAGGGCATTTTATGCACGGGAAGGCCCTCAAATCGGGCCTCGAAAGTGACATCCACACACACACACACACACACACACACACACACACATACACTCCAAAATTATATAAGGTAGGATATTTTTCAGGTCGAGGACGGTGATCGTATGCCAGAATTTATCGACCGGATCCTCGAAAAACATCTTTTGGATGGTGATCGAAGTGAATTCTGTGTCGTGCAATTGTTGGAGAATGGAGGTGGATCCTTACGAAGTTTTTCTTGGCCGCGAATTTCATCGACTTAGAGCTGTTCAGTAGCCTGATGCAAAGATTAAATAATGAACCAACTCTTAATTAGAATATGATATGATTCTTTTTTCAAGAGTTTAGGTTATCACAATACCTTTAACGTCACAAACACCACTTTTTCAGGTGAATTCACCCTCCCCGACAAGTGCAACCCGTTCTACGCCCTCGCGCCCGACAAGTCGCACATGTTCAACCTCATCCTACGCCGGAAGAAGGAGATCGACGGTATGTCGGCATGCCCTGTAAAATATCCCGATTCCAGGCACGATTAGCATACGTCTTTGAGTGTGCGGTGAATTTTTGGAGAAATACCGGTTGTTTCGATCATCATCATAGCTCCCTAATTTGTGTCTAGCCCCCTAATTTGGTTATTATTGGTTATATCCCGGGAAAAATAATCACTACGTTTTACGCATTAATAGACGAAACGCTTCGCCTGGGCCCTCTAAAAATAAATATCGGGTTATACTAATTTGTATTTTTAGAGAATTCTGTTGAAAAAACGTGTGAACTAACCCATTAAATGGATAATACTAGGGTCTAGTTTTTGATCGTATGACGCTCGGTAATCTACTCATATTAACAAGTTATAACCAGAAAATCTGCTAAACTTTATCATAATTATAATTTTCTTATTTCTTGACTACTGTATTCTAAAATTCTCTGGTTTTCAACAAAATCATTAAATTATATACTTCTATAATTTGTATATTAATTAATTACCGAGCTGCTTTTAGTATTTAACATTATATTTTATCACATAAAATGCTTCCTAAAACTTAAAAGATATCTTAACCTTAACTGACTTTTTCTATTTCAGGCGGGTCCCAATCCCCAGCCCTCGGCCCGTCGGCCAAGAAGCTCAACAAGATGAAGCGCAGTAATTTGCTGAGATGGAGTAGTGGATATCTTTAGTGTATCCGCATACCTTATTAATTACCCCACAACATTTTACCCGAGCTCAATTCTACGAACCCGCAAGTCTTCGGCAAGAGAAAAATGTGATTTTGTGAATAATCGGTGGTTCCCCGAGCCTGACCCATGTCAATTAGGATAGCAATTTTCTACTTTTTTGCCTGCTACTTACCCCAATTCACTTGATAAGATTACCATTGCCTTTTTCCCTTGAAAATTGCTCAGAATTGCCGGGATTTTGAAGGTTTTTGTTAAGTTCCGAGAAGAGTCTCATAAGAAACTTAAATCGATACCTTATATTAATACAAAAAAAACCATCGCTTACCCTTTTTGCTATTTTATTAAAACGAATTTATTATTATTTTGATGCTTGGAATTTTTCTAAAAACTTCGATTTTCTAGAGACCCATATCCCGGCCTTAAAATTAGCATAAAAATAGCAAGCCACCCAAAAAATCTTACCTAAAAATTTAATGAATCAATTTAACGATTAATTTTTTTTGTGATTGTTCCGCATTACCTGGAAATACCCGTCCAATTATCCCCCCTGTATACCTATCCTATATCCAGCGGATTACGGGTGCCCGGTCAGCTTACGCAGATATGCCTCAAAATTATCACCACTCTACTGTAAGTTAAAGCGCTATTTTTGTACGCTAAATTGTTCTCAATTTCACTTACACAAATTTCTGCCCAATTTCGCCCTCAAAGCAATAATATCCCTCATTTCCCCTTATCCCCCACATCTGCTATACTACTTATCATCCTCTTTTCTCCAGTGAAGTGTACAAATTTTCATAATATACAGATGACAAATCAAAGAATAAAGATATATATTTTATATTGTTTTTGGGGACATTGAAATGCACGATAAAACATAGTGTAGACATTGGAGGTTAGATAAGAAAGATACCTTGAAGGATGGAATGTTTAGAAGACTTCGAAACCTTGACAAAAGCGAAAAAGAATTACCAAGCGCACAGAACCTAGATGGATTCCCGGAGCGTCGCGTAGTTTAGGGCTATGTTACTTGCCTGGCCCACTTTCCAGATTATTAGGTTTCAGAAACGATACTATCAAAGAAGAGAATACTACTCGACGCACAGCATGGCTAGGCGCAATGGAGCGTAGTGCGGATGGCAAGCTCTTTGCGCCTTACGCTTGGAAAAGTCTCAAAGCGTAGTTTGTTTAAGCTCTAGGCCATATGATTCGTGAAATGTTAAGAAAATAGCCGTAGAACACTTAATAAAGTAACACAAAAATGATGCCTAAAAATTGGGAACATAAGTAAGGGACAGCTTTCGCTCATCTCCCTTCAAGCAGCAGGTTTTCACGAGGGCTGCCGTCACGTTGTAGGGGTCACAGTTGGAGGAGGGGCGACGATCTTCGAAGTAGCCCTAAAAAGGCATAGATTAATGGTCTGTTAAGCCTACAGACCGTGTTAACGATTTTTACAACACTTACGCATTGATCGTCGAAGACCTGCTTCGGGATTCTGACCGAGCACGAGCGATTCGCAACGCCGTATGAGAATGCATCGATTGTTTCGGTCTCATGTGCGCCGGTTAATCTGTAATGGATATTAATATAGATGCGACCTTATAGTTAAGTGCCTACCTCCTCTCATTATCTCGCCCTCCATGCGGATCATAATAAGCAATATGCTGATGGTGCACTTCAGACAGCTTCCGGACGGCGGTTTCGATTTCACTAAAAACAGATATCTATGACCTTTTTTCCTGGTATCATAAAACGTCACTATATTGGTGTTAATGCCAATGATACCTTAAGTTATAATGCTAAAAAAAAACTAACGGATAGCCTCCCGATTCGCGCATCCCCTTTGTGCTAAAATTGCAGTGACATCCGGCGCCGTTCCAATCCCCGAGAATCGGCTTCGGGTCCAGCGTACAGACGACTCCAAAATCTTCACAAACCCTATAAAGCAAAGATCAAAGGTATATACTTTAACGAATTTTATTTGTCGTTTCAAAGCCAGTCCTAAAACCCACCTATGGAGAATAAACCGTGCCATCACCAGCTGATCCCCGGCTTCGATGCCCTCGCAGGGCCCGATTTGGAACTCCCACTAAATTAGAATTTTTCGTAATTTTTTTGGATCTACCTGCGCAGGCATGGTCTCTGCATTTGTACCGGAGATTCGGATGCCAGCGTACATGCCTAAAAAATTGTTATGATCCATAAAAATCCCAAAAACTTACAGGCCCTATAGTGCGCTTCGACGATCTCGCGGCCGTACACCTTATCCGCGCCGACGCCACAGTAGTACGGCCCTGAAAATATGTTCTTACTTGAGAAATTGTTCGTAAAATTGTGAACTCGGTATCACGGTATTCACGTTAAATAAAACCGCAAACTTTTCGTCCTATTTTAAATTTTGAGCGCTGTAAGCGTTGCCAGTCCCTTTCAAACAAATGCTCACAAGGAGTGCTTTTTTGAGTCATCGGCAAAACCTTAGGAGACCTAACTCATTCGATAGAGAATTTGATTCTGAACAAGACCTCCTTGGCCTTTTTTACGGAATGACTATCCCTGATTTTTTAAAATTAAAAAACTAGTGGTTGTCTCTTACCCTTCGAGCGAAAAGAAAGCCTTTCGAGCGCAGTTTTAAAATTTTATAAAATCACGAATAGCCATTCCGCAAAAAAAGGACAACGGGGTCCTGTTCAAAATCGAATTTTCTATCGAATGTGCTAGGTCTTGTAAGGTTTTGCTGATGACTCAAAAAAGCATTTCTTGTCAGAGCCATCAAACTATCAACTATGAAATATACATGCATTTCAGGGCAAACCTTAATTCACACATCACAACAACCAGACCCAAGCAAACTACTTACGAATCACGATCTGGGATGGGTGCTTTTTCGGCGAGTCCGAGACGGTGGCACGGATCTTGTGCTCTGCAAACGGAACTCGGCGATTAAGGAATGGATTCGGATTACGGACATATTTTTGCTTCGAATTCTACAAACCACAGATCGAATCTAGAATTTGGCCTAACCCCTGTCAGCAGAGCACAGCCCCAGATGCCAAACCGAGTCATGCGGAACACGTCAAGCGGAAAAACGGCAAACGTAGTACATACCTTGAGGAGCCGGGTATCCAAGTTTTGGCCATCCGTAGGGGTGCTTGTCGAGATCGAGCAGGGTATATTCTTGCTCGAGTCCGAACCAGGGGACTTGCTCCTTTGCCTTTTCCATAACTTCTAGGCATTTCTTGCGGTTGTTGGTTGCTGAAAAGAGGGATAGATAGAGAGAGGGTAAATACTTGCTGTGCCGATTTTCGCTGTGCCGATTTACAGTATGCCGATTATTGGTATGCCGAATTTTCGCTATGCCGAATTTCACTATGCCGAATTTTCACTTTGCCGAATTTTCACTATGCCGAATTTCACTATGCCGAATTTCGCTATATCGAATTTTCACTATACCGAATTTTCGCTATACCGAATTTCGCTATGCCGAATTTTTTCTACTCTACCACTAATAGTCTCTACTAATGAATAACTAAGATCGACCGGGACTTAGCAGTGCAACAAAAAAATCTGCTGCGCCTACGGGACCTACGATCTGCCCGAGTTTTTGGAAATTTCTAGGCTAATTCTAACTTTCTAAGTACATGATATTTGGAAAAAACAGTAAAAAAATGGGGAACATACCGCTTATCAAAATTAGTATGGCGAAGATTCGGCATGGTGAAAATTCGGTATCGTGAAAATCGGCATGGTGAAAATTCGGTATACCAAAAATTCGGCCTAGCGAAATTCGGCATAGTGAAAATTCGGTATAGTGAAAATTCGGTATAGTGAAAATTCGGCATAGTGAAATTCGGCATAGCGTCAATCGGCATAGCAAAATTCGGCATAGCGAATGGAACTCAGAGAGAGAGAGAGAGAGAGAGAGAGAGAGAGAGAGAGAGAGAGAGAGAGAGAGAGAGAGAGAGAGAGCGGAGAGAGGAAATATCTCATAACTCACGCGTGGGATCGTAGTTCCTATCCAGCGTCTCGCAAAGCACAAGCTTGTTCGGTCCAGGTCGGAAGGGGTCGCTAAATTTAAAATATTTTGATTATTATCTATCCAGGCTTATTTATAAAACCGTATTACCCTGAATAAATTGTAAAACTCACCGGTAAAGTGCAACCGGCCGTATGAAAACATCACTTTGATCTCCGATTGCTTGACCTGTAGAAGTCCCGTCAAAATTCCAAATCGGGAGTTCTAAAAAAAGATGCATTTTCGTGCCGAGTTATGAAAGCTAAAGCCCAAAAACCTCACAAAAACCCACGATCGGGACTGGTTGGCTCAAAGTCGAACGTCTTTGACTTGCACCGTAGGAATTCGCCAGTGCCGTCAATCCAGACGTATTTCACCTGCACCAGTCCGCTCTGGTCCAAATGACGGTATTTGTCCAGTATGCTATTGACGGAGGAAATTTCTAAAAAAAAGAATATTTTTTTAGTTTAAAATCCTGCCTACTTTCATATTTCCGCTTTAGCGAGCTGTGGGCCATCATTTGATTGTAGTCTTCCTGAAAAGAGATTTTAAAAGCGGCAAAATGCTATGGCTGCTTCGTTAAATTGCCTGAAAATGAAAGCATAAAGAATATAAAGAATTATAAGGGGCCTGAAAGGGTATAAAAACTTTGAGTTCGTTTAATTAAACAAAATTTGATTTTAGAAGCCGACAAACAGCTGATATTCGCGCAAAAAAATAGTAAAATAGCCCTAAATACCTAGAAATATTTAAACCCACGCCAGAACCTTTAAATTGCTGAGAATAATTATCAATATCGGATTTAATAAATACCACAAAATTAACGGTATTAAAGTTACAGTACGGACCCATTTGAGGGTATCAATTTCGACACAAAAACCACCTCGAACCCGCGCCATCTGTCCATCGAAATCTAGCGGAATAAATCGAAAAAGAATAGGGACGATGGCGAAAAGTGCGCGCCCAGGATTAGCCCCGTCGTCTTCCCTCCAAACACATCAAGCGAATGCGAGCCCGAGCGGCTCTGCCGAGTTCCCAGGGTCAAAAAATGATCACGGGTCCAAAAAGTGTCTCCGCCTTGCCCCAGCCAGCCGGCTTTTTCTTGGGATCTCCCGTTTTTTCGTGCTCTCTCCCCTGAATCGGAGCATTCCGCCGGGTTGAAAGAACACTTTTTTGAGTTGTGGATGTGTGTGTTGGGGTTGGGCGAGGGGCGGGCTCTAGTGTTGTCGGGTGGTTTGTGGTGCCGGTGCGCCAGACTTTTACGGGTGCACGTGAACCGATAAATTAAGGGAGAAAAAGTGCGCGGGCCCCCTGAGCGCCACTTTCTGATCCCGAGGATAGCCTGGAATATAGTGCACGCCGGCATTTTACAATTAAAATGGCTAAATTAAATTACTATAAAAAATATGTGGAAGATCCATGGACCCGTTAGAAATTCAAAATCGCTGGTAGACAAAGGAACGTAAGTTGCTCGGTGAGAGTCAAAAGAGCCCCTGTTTGCAGACCTGGAAAATGCGGGAAACTTTAACCACATTAATAATAACACGACCAATATGTCAAAGCACTAATAGGCATAGCAAGGTCAGCTTTTAGAACATGAAAATGCTTGTTAGAAAATTCTCTGTCTACTCGCCTAGCCTCAAACTCGCAACGATAAAGTTATACGTAAAAGCCGAAACGCTGATAACGCTGGGACGTACGCAGGAGAGCTGATTACGCGCAAACACCACAGTTTTTTTTTGAGGAAAAAAAGCGTGGTATGAAAGTTTCTGGAGATATGAAAAGTAAGAGAGAAAGAGAGGGAGTAGGAGAGTGAGAGAGTAAGCAAAAGAGAGAGAGAGAGAGAGAGAGATCTAAAGGGAGTGAGAGGGAATGCAACCATAACGTATCGTCAATACATAGTCGAAAATCTTAATGTCTCCTCCCTGATCGTCAAAGATCTCAAACTCCATAAACCGGAAGCAAAAATCCAGCTGCCCCGATAATACCCAAAGATCTAGGGCCCGAGAACAAGTCAGAAAACTTTTTTTTGCAAAAACGCTCAATGAACTTCGGAGAAGGGGAAGCAGTTACGTGTGCGGGCGGCTCTTTTTGCAGGGCAAAACAAACAGCTGCCAGCCACTGGCTGATTAAATACAACGCTATAGCGTCGCGGCCCGATTTAACGCTGTCTGGGCGTCGGAAGTCTTGCGTAATCTATTGTAGTCAACGGGTAATCCGCCCTTTTAAAGGTAAGCAGGAATTCACGGACGGCTGTAAAAACAGGGATTTGCGCCTAGAAAAAGGGAGCCTTACGGATCTTTGGTGTATGAAAGAAATAAAGTGTAAATAAGCGAAGAAAAGCCGAAAAGAAAAAATTAAGTCATTATATTTTAACATTGATACCTAAATATTATTAAATATTAAATTAATGATTAAAAATAGACTAAATAGACTAATGTTAAATAGAACGGTAATTAAAATCAAGGATTTGGTGAAGCTTAAGCTGATTTGATGAAAGCTAAATGGTGCATTGCAAAAAAAAGAAATTTTACAACTTTGTCAAAAACAGTTTTTAGTCAAACACTACCGTTAAAGGGCTAGTTCAACTTTTAGAGCTTGGGCTGGTACCTTGGGAAACTATGGACGTAGGCACAGTGCGCCCGAACAGTCCCCCATTACGACAGCTATTAGAGATCGGGGAGATGGGGGAGGCGCAGACACAAAAATGCAGAGAGGGTTCGACTCCTGGCCGCGGAAATTCTTTTGTTTTATTGGCTGAACTAGCCCTTTAAAAAGGGGGAACTCACAAGGCAGTCGCGGCATCAGAAAACAGATGAGAACCGAAAAAAAAATCGATGGTAGTTGTTGGGCGCGCCAGAAAAATTGCCCGGCGATCGGGGTACACATTCTGAGTCCCCCAATGGATAATCGTCAAGACGAAAAGTATAACATTATGGTCCGGGTACATTCCATGAAGCCCGAGGGGATAGTAGTCACCTGGGTGATTTTTTGGCCCCGGGGGTTTCCCGTCGGAATAGACAATTAAGGGGCAGACTAGAGGCGCGTCGGGGACGTCAAAGAACAAATGGGAGGGAAGGAACATTTTGGCACATAATAGGGCACGGAAATAATTGTCTAGGGAGTAACTGGTCGTTTTCTAGTATTTGTTCGAAGGTTTTGTAGAGTACTAAGGATAACTGCATACCCCTTAAACACCCGTCATCGGAAATTACCCCCCTGGAAGTATAATGAAGGTTTTTCAGGAGATATCTCTCTCTCTCTCTCTCTCTCTCTCTCTCTCTGTCTCTCTATCCTTCTCATAATCCCTCTCGCCTTGCATACACTTCCCCACTCAAAAAATGCACGCAATAGACAGAAAATAAACTATATTTTTCTTTCCTATAGCGTTAATTGCAACGGGGTAGCCGGCCAGGTTTGAAATCGACTACAAAATTAACAATACAATAAAATATTCCATGAAAAGTGAAAGAACAGGATGCCGGAAGATTGGGAAACCGCACAGCAAGCCACAAACCCGTCAATGGGATGCACCTTATCAAATTAGCCGATATCGATCAAACTCGCGGGAACGCTCGGAACCGATTACCATCACAATCTGCGGGCCATCTGGTTACCGTTGGTGTGTACGTAATTGCGGTGTGTCGTGACACACCGCGCACTATTGTGACACAGGGACACTATTACTTGAAAATAGGCTTTTAAATGACAGAAAAGTTTAAAAAAGTTGAAGTTTCAATGAAAGGAAGAGAGAGAGATGAGAGAGAAAGAGGGAGAGAGAGAGAGAGAGAGAGAGAGAGAGAGAGAGAGAGAGAGAGAGAGAGAGAGAGAGAGAGAGAGAAAGGTAGAGAAATAGGGAGAGAGTCAGAGACAAATGATTCTTTGCGTTTCGTAAAAATCCTAAAAAAATAAAGCAAAACATTACGACATCGGTCTGCAGTCACACCGATTTCACATCGACATCAACAAATTCGGCTCCAGATACGGCCAAAAATTTCTCCAAAAATCCCCACCATCGATCAGTAACACTTCCCCGTCCGTCACCCCGAAAATTATTTCTATGAAAAATGGCCGTGAGAAGTGAGTGTTTTATTGGAGTCTACCGGCTGGCCGCAGCGAAATGTTTGACAGCCCAGACCTCAAATGATACCAAAGACCACGCGAACCGGGGCGACCCAGGGAAAAAAGCACCGCCGCGGAAACGACGAGCGATGAAAAAGGCGGCCAGGGCACATTTGCGCTTTGATCTCCTGACTTTTAGCGCGCACACCGGGGGGAAGGATCGACCGTTTTGGGGTTGGTGGTTAGCGAACAGATCGAGATCGGGCTCAATTGTTGAGCTTTTTGCAGGTTTTTGGGTTGGGATGTAAAATAATACCAAAAATTATGGAAACCAACGCCGTGTAAAAATATTGACGCTAAACAATAATACATTTATAGGTAAGGGAATCCGCTATAGCCTGAATTTATCGAATTCGCCAACACGATGGAAGCTTGATTCAGGCCAAAATTCGGACAAGTCTTTGATGCTTTTTTGACAGGAAAAGCGTGATAGAAACTTGGCTGGAACAAAAAATCGCGGATTTTAAACCCACACTTTCCAATTGATAATTTTGAGAAAGGATTTTACGGCATTAGCACTGCTAAGCGCTTGCCATCTCCTACATACTATGTCCAAAATAGCACAAATATTTATAAACTTTTTAAAATACCCACATGGCCATTCAGCGCCACCGACAGTATCCGTGTCTCGTTCATGGGCAATCTGGAAAAATTGCCCGTACGAAATAATGTACATTTTGTCGAAAAACCGTGAAAATACGCAGAAGTGTGACAACCAAAGGGACAAAAGAGAATGCGTGTGCTCTAGTCAAAAATCATATTGCGTTTAAAAATTGCACGAATGACCGTGCCAGTGAAAAAGAGCACTCGACGCGCCCCGCCCCAGCCCCGTTGCATGTGATCTTTTGCGCTCTGGATCGTTTTTCGAGGAATGGAAGGGGTTCCTCTGCAAAAAATCACAGGAACATGCCAAAGGGTTTAAAATCAAGGCAAAAGTTCAACAGGGCTGTGATGCAAAACTGATGGTTTAATGCCGCTTACAAGGGGTCATTTTTCGGTGCCTTTCGTCATTCGATAGAGCTTGTGTTTTGGGCAATTAACATATCCCAAAAACTGCCATCGGATAGTAAAGGCTTATCAAAGTTTCATTTTCTTGAGGCGAGTTCGAGGCAACTTTTCGCTAATACCGTAGACCTTCCGGAATTTTTTGAAGAAAGGATTCGTTGACAATTTTTGCTCCATAGAATCGGCGCATTTCAGACGCAAACAAACACCAAAAACACCGAAAAACGACCCCTTCTTATATACTTCCAGGCTTCCCTAAAGCCGAGAAGGTACACCTATAACTTCTACATCAATTGAGCCAAAACGCGATTGCAATGCTATGTTGGTCCAAAGATTAATACATGTTCTACAGCACACGAGGAACGAACATAGGGTACCTCGGCCAGCGAAAAAAAATGCCAACCGGTCGGTCAGGCGGGAGAAATCGTTAGGCCTGGCTAATCTTGACGTCTCTGAACTCTTGGCTTCTTGATTTTGGCACCACTGGCCCAGGGAGGATCGGGAAAACAGATTAGATATGCCCATTTCAGGAAACGTATGAGGGTTGTGGGCGGACGGGGAGGAAATTGGGCTGGCCAGGACAGGGTTCCAAAAGCCAAGGGTGCATGAACGAAAATTCATGAGATGTACCTTGTTTCCTGCGGTTTCCCGGTTTTTTTTAGATCCCCAGCCTGCACCCAGCTTTGCAGCATACTCGGAAGCAAGTGAAAACGCTCATCTCAGGAATCTTTGATTACCTAGCTTACACAATTACATAGGATGTACAGTAGAAACATTTTT